GGATAAATCATTTCCTTTCCTTTTTAGGATCTAAACGTGGATGAATTTGAAGAAATCTTCAAGACAAAGGCCCAGGGCCCAGCCATTGATCTGACCTCCAGCAAGCAGAAGATCACCCAGAAAGGCTCCAACAAGGTCACGTTGCTGGATGCCAACAGGGCCAAGAATCTGGCCATAACTCTCCGGAAAGCCGGGAAGACGGCGGACGAGATCTGCAAGGCCATCCACGTGTAAGTGAAACACTGGCCAGCCAAGAAACCCTGAGATTTACTGGGGGGTTTAGTCGGTGGAAAGGGTTGGAATTGGCAGTTGATGTCTCTGGAAAATATCCAGGGGTAAGGAGGGAATGGTTCTGAATTCCCAGAAATCAGATTGCCTTGAACTCAAATGAAAACCTGGCAGTTCTGTGTCTCTGAATCACTGCTGAGGCTTAACAAATTAACACTTCTGTTGTTAAAGCAGCTAATTCCTGTCTGTGCACAGGATAGTGGATCCATATCCTATATCCTGTAGTTTGCCATTGCAGCTCTCCCTCTGGTTCCACAATAATTTCTGTTCCAGTGAGCACCCAAAAGGCAGAGAATCAGGAAGAGGGAACTCTTTTGGTTTGCTCTGTAAAGGATGAGTTTAGTCCAGGTGCTGGAAGAGATTTTGCATGGAATTAGGTTTGTGTGGTGGCCTCAGGCATTGCCAAATGTGGGTGTCCATGGGACTTGTCTGTGCCCCATCCCACCCCAATCCAGACCCTTCCCTGTTCCTGGGGACTGAGTGCAGGTGCAGCTGCTCCTTGGGGCTGATCCCAAATCCATCCACACGCTCTCTGTGCTCCTCATGGCCATGACAAACATCTCCCATTCCTCCAGCAAGGAATATCCTAAAAATGTGGATCAAAAGCATTACCTTTGGGCTGGAGGGTGACCCAAACCTGCCCCACATCAAGGCAGGTTCAGTTGTTGGACTTTTACAGGGCTCTGCTCCAATTAAATAAAAATATTTGCTCCTCCCCACCTGTTTTCTCTTACAAAAAAGAGCTGTGGCCATGGAGGGATGTAGGTGATGGCCACATATCTTTGGAATGGGAAACAGGATGTCCAGCAGCACCATTCCCATCAGCCCAGTAACCTGTTCCCATCTCCATGTGCAGGGAGCTTCAGGTGCAGGGCAGGAAGAACTTGACAGCTTCTTCTCTACTGACTCAGACTCATGTAGGGCTGAATCCCAGCCTGTTTTGGATTGGAAGGGACCTTGAGGATCCTCCAGTGCCATGCCCTGCCATGGGCAGGGACACCTTCCCCTATCCCAGGTTGCTCCAAGCCCCATCCAGGCTGTCCTTGAGCTCTTCTCCTGGCGTTGTGCCACAGGTTTGACCTGAAGACGCTGCCGGTGGATTTTGTGGAGTGCCTGATGCGGTTCCTGCCCACGGAGAACGAGGTGAAGGTGCTGCGTCTGTACGAGCGGGAGCGGAAGCCCATCGAGAACCTGTCGGACGAGGACCGGTTCATGATGCAGTTCAGCAAGATCGAGAGGCTCATGCAGAAAATGACCATCATGGCCTTCATCGGCAACTTCGCCGAGAGCATCCAGATGCTGACCCCGGTGAGCCGTGGAATCCGGGAATATCCTGAGCTGGGGGTCACCGAGCCAGGTGCTGGCCCTGCACAGGCACCTCAACAATCCCACCCTGTCCCTGAAGCCTCCTGGAACTCTGGCAGCCTTGGGGCCAGGCCCACTGCCCTGGGGAGCCTGGTCAGTGCCAGCCCCCCCCCAAGAAACACTCACACAAATGGAAAAGTGGTTTTCTGGCTTTATTTTCATCTGTTAGTGACTGTATATCCCAGGAGCTGTTTGTATGGCAGTTGTAGCCTGGACTGTTAGGGACTGCCTCATAGGCCCCGTAAGCCTTGTAGGTCTCACAGACCTCATAGGATCCATAGGTCTCACGAGCCCCACAGACCCCATAGCCCTCATGGGCCCATTAGGACTCGTGGACCCCATAAACCCCTGTAGACCTCATGGGCCCCACAGACCCCATAAATCCCAGAGGCCTCACAGGCCCCATAGTGCCATTAGGCCTCACATGTTCTGTAGGACCCAAAGGCCCCACAGGCCTTATGGCCCCATTAGGTTACTGTGGGTCCTGGTCCGTGGGCTCCTGGAATTGTGTCCCACCCAGCCCAAAGCACCTGTCACAGTTGTAGGGATTGAAATTTGAATCCTCTTTGACCCCACCATGCCTGAGGGGGTAAATCTGGTGGGCAAATGAATGGTTTGAAATCCTGGTGTGTCAGGACAGGGGAACATCCACAGA